CTCTCTTCTCCACAAGCTGCATTTCCAGCCACATTTGCAACTGCATCGCACGTTCCAGCTACACAGTAACCCTTTAGCCCATAAATTTAAAACTATACCAGAGCGAACAGTTTGGTGAAGAGTTATGAAAATAGAAAACTCCCGTTGGGGTGGAAATCTGAGTTGCAGCTGGGGGAAAGAACCATATTTACCAACAGTTGTCTCCTCGTTGCAGAAAAGAGCAATTTTCGTATGTGTTCTGAAGAAGGTCCTTTAGCATTTACCACCAGCTTCTCACAGCACGTGGCCATCGTACTCTGAATGTCCGCCTAATGTGGGTGCTAAGGGGCCAGCCCCCCTCACCTCTAAGGATTTCAGGCTAAGGGAAAACATGACCTGTGGGCGCACTGTCAGTTGTGAAACAGGCTCCAAAAGTTCATCTAGAAAGTGGACTTTAACTGTTGTTTGCATTTCTGGATAACTTTTTCCTTTTTTCCTTTTTTTTTTTTTTTTTTTTTTTTTTTTTTTTTTTTTTTTTTTTTTGTTTCGTTTTGGGGGTTTTGTTTTGTTTCTGCTTTGTTTTTGTATTTCAAAATCATTTTTGGAATACCGTTTGAGAAAACTGGTCTGTAAGCCTTTCTGACTTTCAAGTTTAAGACCAGAATCCCTCTAGCTGTGAAACAATGTTCCTGAAAGAAAGAACCCTGTTTCATCAACCTCTGCAGTATGGTACATCCATCCACTCTCTAGCCTGGAGTCAGTCAGAATGAGTCCTGTGTTTCAGTGAAAGACCACTTATAAATATTGGTGAATGACGATATACCATGGCCCCCACAGAAGACTGTGGTCTTTATTCTTACACAGCTGCAGCCAGTGAAACCACACAGGAAGTTGAAGAGTGTTCTTCTCTTTGGGCTATTATTTTACTACTACTACTTAACTACTAGTACTAGTACTAGGCTGTAACTTGGGAATAAAGAAATGCTCCCTAGTTCCTGCCAGCTCCTCTTCTCTGTAGTTCGGTTACCTACAGAGTCAACTCTGTGCAGCCCTCTAAAAAGCAGAAATTACACACAATACATCTCAAACAAACCCCATCCCCACCACATGCGCAGAATATGTGATAGAAAACGTAAGGGAATCTTAGAGACTTTCATGATTTTCTACCTAAGCTCAAATTTTAGTCATATGCTGTTAAGGCTTGTCCTTCAGACTCTTTATCATTGAGTCCCTTCGTCGCTGAGTCCCTCGAGCTGCTCCGGGCTGACCCTCCTTCTCACCGAGCCGGGCCCGACCACTGTCCTGAAGTATTCCCGCATCCGTGGGGCTGATGCTCATGTCACTTCTGTACATGTCATCATCTTAGTGCTTTGAATATCGCCTCTTATGATACCACCTCTGACATATTTAATTCAACATCCATGTCTCCAATGCAACCTATTTTCTCACTTCCTCTCTCCATGAAACCTTTTCCTCCTTGACAGGAAAATTTTCTGAGTCAGTTAACCCACCCCACTCTCAAGACTAAACCCGGGCCATAATTTCTTTCCTGCCAAGCCTGGAGTCCATGATGACTTAGTCAAAACGTTCTTTTACAAGCTCCCTGACTTAAACTCCCTTCTTCTCTCTCCTCCCAAGTCCCTGCCCTGAAAATCTGTTAGGCACTGTCCCACATTTTGGCTTCTCTGCCCCTTCGCCTGATGGTGGAAGTGCTTACTGGGCTGCCAGCATCTGGAGTCCCCCCTGCCATCCTCTCCCTCCTGTTCTCTTTATTGGCTTCTCCAAACCCTCACTATTGCCTTCGTACCTCCCACACGGCCTCTCCAGGGTTACTGTTAGCAGGTGACCTTAAAGCGAGAGAATCTTCGAATGATCCATTTCCCCTCCATGCCTTATAGTCATCTCTCCCAGGTCCCTCCTGACACACTCAGAGGAAAGACAGCTATTCCTCCCGCTCCAAATTTAACTTTGCTACTTTAAGCATCCTCCCTGTTTCCTGCCTCCCCAACCTCTTCCTCTCTACTAGTTCTTTCCTTGGATCTTATAACTTAAACTTCCTTCATCTTCAAAACAAACAGTAAGCAAATAACTTGGCTCTGCATCCTCTTCCAAGAATGGGCCCCTTTTCCTTCCATTTTTTGCCAAACTGTACTTGCTATTCTTCCTTTCTTCTTATTTCTTTTACTCTTATTAGCTACAAAATGGGGTAAGTTTTGTTGTTGTTGTTTTCTATTAAAGAATACTAAATATCCATTGGAAGACTACATCAGGTAATATGGGAAAACATAAAGAAGAAAAATTTTAATTTCTAGTAATGTCACCACCCATGTACTGTTACATTTCATATTTATTTATGCATCAATTGATTTTTCCACATCACAGTGTATTGCCAATAATTAAGGGTACTCTTTTAAAATACATAACAACATTATCATACCTACAAAGATATTAGTAAAAGCCCTTTGATATAATCAAATTCCTACTGCCGATAATACTTAGATGGTTATTCTTCCCATTTTTTCTCTATTTCTACATATCCAAGGTAAGTATATATTCATTTTTAATTAAAATACACAATCTTACAATGTATGTGATTTTGTAACCTGCCTTTTCCCCTAAGATTCTGTATCTTTCTAAATTACTATGTAGATCTACATCATCATTTTTAATAACTATCCAGTAGTCTTTGTATAAATGTCATAATTTATTTAGCCAGTAACCTATCTAAGCCCATAAAGTTTTATATTACTATCTTTTGTCTACATTATAAATAGCTGCTATGAACATTCCCATTTTGTTTCATTTTGGCGCTTTCTCTTTTGGGGGCAAGGCTGCTTCTCATCTGTCAGCCATTGGGAATTGCTTCCAAAGGAGATTAAGATAAAGATTTAATTTCATACTTTTTCAAAAAAAAAAAAAAAAAAAGATGATTCATTTTTCCAAACACATTCACTCTTTAACCTCTGTAGTTTAATTCTCACCCATACTGATTACCTGCTCAAGAAAGGTCATCTATACATTTTTTTCCTTTTTTTCTTTTGTTTTAAATTGAGATGGAGTTGACATATAACATTACATTCGTTTCAGGTGTACTATATAAATGATCCAATATATGTATATATTGTGAATTGTCAACACAATAAATTTAGTTAACACCCATCACCACACATAGTTACAAATTTTTTCTTCTTGTGATAAGAACATTTAAGATCTACTCTCTGAGCAACTAGTACCTTTGACCCACTTCACCTGTTTTACCTGCCCACCATGCCTCGCCTCTGGCAACCACAGATCTCTTCTCTGTGCCTGAGTTGTTTTTGTTTTTAGTTTCCACATATAAATGAGATCATATACTATTTGTCTTTCTCTTTCTAACTTACTTCACTTAGCATAATGCCCTCAAGATCCATCCATGTTGTCACAAATGGCAAGATATTCTTCTTTTTTATGGCTAATATTCCATTGTGTGTATATGTATGTATCTCACATTTTCTTTATAAATTCATCCATTCGTGGACACTTGAGTTGTTTCCATGTCTTGCCTCTTGTAAATAATACTGCAGTGAACATAGGGGTACAGACATTTTTTCAAATTAGTGTTTTCATTTTCTTCAGATAAACACCCAGAAATAGAATTGCTGGATCATGTGTCCATATATTCACAAGTGACCGATTCAATTAATACACTTAATCTTAACTCTTCTTTACTCCTTAAGAATTTGGCATTCTTAGGCACTACCATCTTTTTGCCACTTTATTGTCCTAAGGCTTCCATTGCTGCAAACTTTCCTGATTGTCCACTAAGTCTGATGTTCTGCATCTAACTTTTCCTCACTGCATCTTTTTCCTCTCCCTGTTTTCTGATATTTCCTGGGATCTTACATGTGACTTTATGCTTCTTATTTTTTGCTTCCTCACTGAGCAACTCAGACCTGTCCGCAGGCAATTACTGTATATCTTACTGGGTGCTGATGGGGGACAGAGCTATCAGGTGGTACATCAAGTAGGGGCTGAGGGTATCAGCCTCGTGTCGGTCAGCAGTGGAGAGCAGCTCTGCCACCAGCGATCCGGATGTAAGGGGGTCTTGGTGAGAAAGGCTGGAGAAGCAGACGGAGGCCAGCACCCAGCATGGCATACTAAGGAGTCTGCACTCGATCGTTCTGTTTGTCCAATAGAGTTTCTAGGTTCCTAGGACATACTGAGCACGATCATTTCATTTTTTGTGGTTCATCCTGCATCTGCAATGTGGGAATATCTTTTTTTCATTCCACAGAGATGAGCCTACAATTATTACTCCTGCGATGACAAAGAAAGACTATATAAAAGAAGATGTACTTGTCATGGGGAGGGGGAAAATAAAGAATATGAATAGCATATTATGTGTGATTTATTGGGACTCTTAAAATATGTGTTCAGCCATTAGCTGTACCCAGCCTGCAGCCTGAGATAAACTCATAAATTCTAGAATACTTGCAAAACCAAATTGGGACTGAAAACCAGCTCCATTAGAGCACAGTATTCATGTGGCATGCTTTGGAAAAGTCATTTTCATTAAAATGGGGTTCTTGCCTGAGGGAGCACATCTTACAAATACAGGAGTGCGGGACTCAGATGTACCAAAACCGGGTCCTGGACCGCACCGTGGCCAACGCCTCACGTTCCTGCCACCTCAGGATCCATCTCCTCATACAAAAAGTCCCTCCGTTTAACCAGCCCCGAGAGAATAATGCCTAGAAAGTCACTCCACGCTTTCCATCTTTACCGGGAAATCGCTTCTGCTTGAAATCTCATCCTGACAAGAGAAACATTCCAGGAGCATTCCTCACGCCTCATGAATTCCTGTGCTTGGAGAAGGAAAGGTGGTTCCTTTTAGAAATTGTTCGTTTCGCGGTTGAGCACATTGCCGGTAAATCAAAATGTGTCTGAAATCTCATGCAGATCATATTCGGCTGAGGAAAGAAGTCCAAGGCTGATGAGAGTCAATGTGATTGTGTGTGATATCTCTTGCTTTCTGTCCACAGCCTGCGGCGCCCCCAGTGGACACGCCTGAGCTGAGCGCCTTTCTACGAAACTCGACCATTCCTCATCTCATCAGGAAGAGAGACGTGCCCATGCTGGAGCCCCACAGACAGAGCCCCATGAAAATCCTGGTGAGTCATCTCAGTGTGCAGGGGAAAGACGTGCCACAGAGCTGCCACATGCAGACGGTTTTAGCTTCGAGTACTGTTTAACACTCTCCTTCAATGCTCAGATAATGCCTGACACTTCTTGGCAGTGCATAGTGTGAGACGTGAACGTGACTTTTCCATGGGAACTAGTGAGTATTTGCAGCGTAACGTTTTCACCCTTCTAAACCTGCTGCAGAGGCCACACTGGAGAAGTAGTGAGGAAAACATAAAGTGTGATGGTGAATGCATCTCAAAAACGTTAGCCTATCCCCAGACACTAGGGTGCGAGTTTGAGGTGAGCCTGGAGACACAACGCCCATGTGATGGGTCCTCGGCATGTTACACCTGTCCCTGAATCTCAGCATCCTCTGCACGTCTGGCAGAGATGAAAATGGTGGGGCTGGGTTTCCTGGGCCCAAACTGGAGTCTTCGCGTTGTGGGTTGTAGCAGATCTAGCCTGAGCTGAGTAAGCACTTTGCAAAACCGTAGACAGCATTCCCGAGTGAGCGTTCTCTCTCTGCTCCTTCGTTTCAGTGTGAATGTTAAAACCAGAGCACACTACACTTAAAAAGGGTTAAGATATTAACCATTGTCGCTGCAACAAATTTAAGAGAGGGTTAGAATAGTTTTTTTTTTTAACATGTGTCTTGAACACGCTCTGACATTCAATTTATATTTCATCTTGACAGTATAAAAGGTTTCGAATGTGGAAATGGACAGAAAAGTACAAGCAAGTCTAACTTAATCAGCTAAACTTGAGAGAAGCATTTATTATAATAGAACTACCTGAAATTACATGGTGACTTCGATGGAAGTCGGCAGGTTATGATTAGATGATACTGTCACATTTTTAAAAAATGTAAGGGTAGGGAATCGATACACTACTGAGTTTAGGATAAATTTATAAAATTCTGCATGTTATCATTTTTAAAAAGCTTCCAGGAAGAACAAAAGAAGAGAAAAACAATGATTTAAGTCCTAGGGATGTTCTGTGCAGCATGGAGACTAAGTTAATAACATTGTATTCTGTATTTGAAAGTTGCTAAGCAAGTAAATCTTAAAAGTTTCATCACAAGGAAAAAAAGTTTGTAAGTATATGTGGCAGCAGATGTTAACTAGACTTATTGTGGTGATCATTTTGCAGTATATGCAATTATCAAATCATTATACTGTATATCTGAAACTAATGTTATGTCAGTTATACCTTATTAAAATTTTTTGAATAAATTTTTTTAAAAAAGAAAATGATTGATATCTATAGAATTCTTACATGCAGAACCAATGGGAAAGCTGACTGGAGACCTAGTGTCCAAACCCATGGAGACTAACAATTTGGAAAATCAAGATTCAACTGTATTTTTCAATTTCCACTTCAGCATATGTCTCATGAGTACAAAAGGCAGTGGACATCAATAAGTAACACTCTTTTGTAAATTATATGATCCTGTGTTATACAAAGATTTTTTTCACTTTTGTTTTTTTCTCATTAAAGATTTTTAATGCCAGATGATTTCTAACCTCTGAAATCAAGAAAACTTATTACTTGCAGATGAGAGCAAGGCGATCCTCGATTTCTATTTCTGATTTTGTTAACTCATGTTTTATTCCCTTTCTCGCTTATTGGTTGAAAACTTGCAAATGATACACCTCCCCATGTCCTTGGGCCAAAATAATTCTGGATAGAAAGTGATTATGCAAAGTTTATTCTAAAATCAAAAGCTAAATAAGACCTCCCACAGTTTTTGTTTAGTTAAAAGCAACTTACTGGATCCCATTTCTGATTAGGAATTTGAAAGTACAAAATGCCAACATCCTGTGTTGGGATCATGATTTCCAGTTTGCATAGGAAAAATCTGTATCTGTCACACTGAAATATAATTTCTCCCTGTCTATAAGACCGTCCTTGCTTTTCTCATCTGTCCTTGCTCGGTTTACAGAAGCCTTATCCTTTCAGCACTGGACACGCTTGACCACTTCCTGAAACCACCAGCTCCCTTGGCTTCCCCCAGCACATTCTCCTCCGGTTCTCTCTCTACCTTTTAACTTGCCCCTTTGAGTTTTTCATGGACTTCTCTCCTACTCATCCTTCAATGGTCCTGGACCTCAGGATTCCATCCCCAGCCCCGTCATCTCCTCTCCCGTTGGCTTTGCTCTTTCAGGGAAATTTCTTGCATGATTATAACTGCAGTCTTTCCTAGGTGCCTCCTGCCATCTTGGCACCCCTTTATCGTGTTTGAGACTTGAAGGGCTCACTGTATATGTTCTTCTGGATGTCTGATAGACACCCTGGCCCCACATGTCCAAAACTCTGTCTCCACGACCCCCAGAATAAGCTACTTCTCTAGAATTCCCAGTCTCAGTAATGCCAGGACCCATCCACCTAGTTTTCCAAGCCAAGACAGCTCCCTCCACCCATCCCTCTCCTTCATCCCAGCCTTCGATTAGTCTAACTTACTCCCTGGTCACAAAGCAGGATATTCTGAGAGTTTTATCTGCTAGGCTGTGTTTAAACTAGTTTCTAGGTTTGCCCAACTTATAATGGGTAACTTTTAATGTAAGAAACGCATGTTCCTGGAGAGTATTCATCATGATGACATGCGTATTTTCTGAGCGGACCCCAGTGTGGAAATAAATGGAAACATCCCATTCATTTTCCATGTGCTCATGTATAGGATGATACTTCTCCAATTATACTCCCTCACTGATGTGAATCGTGTGGTCCATGCTTTAGTTTTCATGTCTCAGGCACTAGGAACTAACCTGTACATGTTCGATAAGAATCAGTTTCTTGGAAATAATGTGAAGTAGTTGACTGAGACATTTCATTTTAATGAAATTGACAAACTGCAGAGTAATCCAAGGAACATGTTGCCGTGAACACCTTTTTTGAAAACCTCAGAATTCTCTAAAAACCGAGCAATCGATCAGTCATGAGTCTCTGATAAATTCCAGCTGGGTTAGATTTCTTTGTGATGTTCCCAAATACAGGAGCCTGGGCTGCTTGTATTCTACTTGAGTTGGGGACGGAGGTGTTTGGGATCTTGTGCCTCCAAATTTCTGCAGTTCATGCCATCCGGGGTTGGGGGGGGACCCCTCATGTTTACCTATGCTTCGATTAGTCACCACGTATCTATTCTACTTCCAAAACTGCTATAAAGTGCATCTCCCTCCCTCCGTTCCAGTCCGAGGCCTCATCTTTTCTCACTTGGACTTTTGCAACAAGTGTTTAACATCCTCCTTGCCTCCCACTCCCCTCCTTCCAGTCTTCGCTCACATACCGCCTGTCCCCCGAAATACAGACGTGACCATATTCCTTGCTAAAAAAGCTTCGCGGCTTCCCAGTGCCTTCTGAAAAAAAATCTGAAGTCCTTAACACAAATAGACAGAGAGGAGAATATTATGGAAGAAATACTTGTCAATGGGTTAATAGCTTTGGATCTTTCAGATAATAAAGACTCTAGGACCTTCCTTTCGAAAGCCTTTTCAGGGCTTTGCTTAGTCCGGGGTCCGATGTTGTGCATATCTATAGGCCATGTTGTCCTGAGTTTAGAGAAAATGAAACAGAACAATTCTATTGCTGCCACAGGAGGATTGTTTTAAGTCCTTAGAAAAGAGCTTAAATTTTGTTGCCGTTCTGTTCCATCTTATTCTCTGCATTTACCGCTGACGTTGATGCATCATCGCCACCAAACTGTGTTTTTTTTTTCTTGGCTGCTTTAATGTACTTGTTCTTCATTTACGGATTAGGCGATGACTCCTGAGGAAATAAGACATAGATAAGCCGAGTTCAAGGTTGATGCTCCACCACAATTTAAAGTCACTGATTGGCCATTGCTGCTTTGTTTCTTGCAGAATTGTACCAATATCGAGTGCCTGCAGATCTCCTGCGTGGTGGGACGGCTAGAAGGAGGAGAAAGTGCAGTCTTGAAAGTCAGATCTCGGTTATGGGCCAAGACATTTCTCCAGGTAATACAAACAAACAAAAAACCGGAAGCACATACATGCCACTCACGAGGAACCTCTTCTCAAAAGCTCCCTGGGGAGATTTTCCTTGTAACGATTTTTAAATTAAAACAAAATTTCTATTATTTTACTTTAAAATTTTTTTAGATTGACTGAAAATGAATTTTTTTTATTTAAAAAATATTTTAAATTTAAACATTGCTTTTAATTTTTAAAAATTTTAAAAGAAATTTCTGTGGAGTTGAGCCAAGATTAGCTGATCCGCTTTCCCATCAGGTGAAGACGACTTTTTTTAGCTTTACTGAAACATTATTGACGTATAATGTATGTAAGTTTAAGGTGTATGACGTGATGATTTGATTCACATAGATATTGCAAAACGATTACCACAGTAAGAGTAGCCAACACCTCCATCCCCTCGCATATTATGTTTTTGTGCCGGTATAGTGATAAGTTTTAAGATCTCTCTTAACAACCTTCAAGCATACGATGCAGTATTATTAACTGTAACTACCATGCCATATATTAGATCCTCCCCAGAATGTACTCATCATATAGCTGGAAGTTTGTACCCTTTGACCAACATCAACATCTCCCCATTCCCCCCATCCCAGAGCCCCTAGCTGCCACCATTCTTCTCTCTGTCTGTCTCTCTGTCTGTCTCTGTCTCTCTGTCTCTGTCTCTGTCTCTGTCTCTCTCTCTCTCTCACACACACACACACACTATACTATATTATACTATACTATACTATACTATACTATACTACATATTGGAGGTTTTTGATAGTTTCGTCATGCAACCCACAGCGGGTAAATGTTTTCTGCCTTCCTAACCCAGGACAAAGTTTACAGTTCTTAGATGACATTGTTTGCAGCATTATGTTTGTTTCTGTCCATATGCTGAACATGCATGTGAAAAGATTTTATTTAAGTTAATCTTAAATGCTCTCTGTTCTGTGATTGTTGCATGAAACAGCATCCTCCTTTACAGCTTAAAGTTTTACCTGTAATTGCTTAGGTTTTGTCATCTCACAAGGTAAATGCTTCTTGTAAATGTCAAGTATTAAAACATGGGCTACGTAAAATGGATATATGCTTTAAAATAGTTCTCGAGAAGGAATTAAGCCGAGGGAAGGTAGGAGTAAGAGAACTCATGATGTTACCAGCACACCAGGTATTTAATCCACTCAAAAGCATCCCTCTCCACTCCATTTGTTACCAGCTCTGTAACTTTTATGAGGACCATGCCATCCTTATGCAAAAGCACAGGACAGAGGCAGCCAGTGGGCTGCAAACCACAGTTTAAATGATGTGGCAATGACAGAAGAATGGGACGTTTTCTGAGGATCAATAGCTAGCTGGGTCTGGTTGAAGGTCTAAGATATTGCCGAAGGATATTAGCTCCAGCTGCTTTTTCAATTCTAAATTTCCTACAAATGGCATCGACTGCTATCACGTGAGGAGACTGCTCAATGGGAAAGATTTCTTACCATAAGCATAACATAGTTGTTATGTAAGGAGCATGGCTGAAAGCATCCAACTTTCAACGTGGAATCGATGATACAATTCTGCTCATAATTGTTTGTCACGAATTCCTTAACCTTGCCATGCCTTTGACCTACAGTCACAGGACGAGTGTATCTTTCTTTGATGCCGACCCAGCTGATTATCGCTAATAGCTCACATTTCTTATTCCTTGGAGCTGCAGAGCAACTTAGAAACATGAAAAAAAAATTTTTCCTACTGTAAAGAGTGGAAGATACCTTGGTTTTGGGGAATAAAATAAAATAAAGATCAAATCGATCTATGTGTTATATTGTTCCTCGGCTCTTTGCCTACCACCTAATTTGTTCAGGCCCCAGACTGTATCAGTTTGCAAAGCAGAAGCAGATAACAGAGCCGAGAGCATGGCACTAGCCTTTATCATGACTGCAGCCCTCATTTAACATCACTACCTTCTTTTACAGCATCCCAAACTTCCTAATGTAACTGATAGGACAAGGTGTCCAATTTAATAACTAAAAGCAGGAGACCTTTTTAAAAGTGCTATCGAATGGGTCTTACATGGAGTGGGAGGGTCATAGAATAACCAAACCATCTAATGTGGTCATTTGCTGTCCACCCATACGGTCAGTCACCCAGGAGCGATGAAGCCATCCTATGTCTGCTGTTCTAGATGCTCTGGAAGAGAAAGCCTTACAATTCATGCTACATGCCTTCTGTTTTTGTGTAGTCTTGTCAGGGAGAAAAGCAACAGAGAAAAATAAAAAGTTAAACAACAATGTGAAAATTCCAAACACTATACGACGAAGAGAAAGCCTTACAATTCATGCTACATGCCTTCTATTTTTGTGTAGTCTTGTTGGGGAGAAAAGTAACAGAGAAAAATAAAAAGTTAAACAACTTTTGAAAATTCCAAACACTATACGACAAATGTCGTCTCATCTCAGAGCTCGGAATCAGAATCTGAGTGTGATCCTGGGTGTTTCTGAAGCTCAGGTGGTTTGTGAACCACAGGAAGTGACAGTAAAGCTGGGTGATGAATGAAAATGTGAAGAGGAATCAAACTCTGGCCAAGAGCAGGGTGGGCAAAGGAAGGAGGTGAAAGAAAGTCAGAGAAACGTGTTTCTCCACATTCTATGGATCGAATCTCATCTCTTATTCATTAAGAAACTTTCATGTTCACAAATGCAGAATCACGTAGTACAAAAACTTTCCATCTAGAGTCACCGCGGAGATGGAGTTCTCCCGTGATTTGTTTCCCAAAGACATGACCTCAAGAGCAAGAAAATTATTTTCTATCAGTTTTTTTATTGAACTTGGAGACTAAAGAAAACGTTCATTGGACGTTTGAGAGCATGGACATATATTTCAGTACGTAGTTATAACCCTTAGGCATAGAACCTCATTACCGGAATTTGCCATGTTTCTTCAATGTCTACCAGCCAGGATGGTAAGGAAAGTAGATTTAAATCACCAAAGTACACGCAAGATTTTGTGAACAAAGATTTTTACATTTTAAAAAACACTTCTCACACAAACAACAAAAAATATTCCAGCTCTTAGTTAAAATGAAAACAGGAGACTAGAGACCATCAGAAGAATAACAACCAAAAGAATTTTTCCAAATAAATAGAATTGCTTATCCTGGAATGTCAGAGAAGAAAAAAAGAAGAAGCCAAAGATATAGCGCCTTTAAGGATATAAAAGTTTTGCATACTCTGGCCTGTCCTTATCATGTAGAGGAAATGGGGTTTATTGAAGAGAGAGGAAAAAAAAAAAAGAAATCAACCATGGGGGTGGGGGGTGGGGAGGGGGAACTTGGTACAAAAAACTTAAACAAAATTGTTACAATTCAAACTATAGGACTGGTCTCAAGAAACCCAACATTGGGCTTCAGATGGTGAAGTGCTGGTAAATGTTTAATGAACTGCTCTCTGGGAGGAATCAAAGCTCTGATATCTAGCATGTTTGCTGATTCCCATGGTGTAAATGTTATGCCCCACCCCCTCACCCCCATGGCCAATGTCAAGCTGCCAACATGGTGTTGCAGCATATGGAGTTAGAAAGAAACGCACTGTAGCTCATCCTAAGTAGTGCTTCCACTTACAGGTACGATAGATATAAATAATGTCAAGAGAATAGATTATAGTAAAATGCAACAAAATAATTAGTAGGTATTGAGTTTTGAATGATTACCTTTTAAAAAAATAATCTACTGAAGTTTACATATATATAATTTAAATTTTAATAATGGCTCCGTTTAACAGCTGCTACTCAAAATTTCTGAAACTTTAACAATTTCTCAGGAGCCATTATGAGCCGGCTACAGCTCACCAGTGGATAGATCTAATTTTTATCTCAAGATAAACAGAGGATAACCACAGAAGCTTCAGTTCTCAAAATGGCTTTTCTTGACTTAAATATTTCCCTTTGACTTTAATCAATAGTTAATATGAGAACCAATTAAATAAAAATAACTTTTGCTGAAAGTTCTATCAAAAACACTGTATAGCTCTAGGGGTGTGGTTCTTAAAGGGAGATTTTGCTACCTAAAAGGACACTAGTAATAATTAGAGACATCTTTGGCTGTCGTGACTAGGGTAGATGTCATGGCGGGGGTAGATGTCATACTGGCATCTAGTGGATAGAGGCCAGGGATCCTGCTCAACTTCCTACATTGCACAAGACAGTCCCCCATCCAACCCCAAATCCTGATAGTGCCAAGACTGAGAACTCTGTTCTGGGTCATCCATAAAAGTAAGATATGTGATACATTCCTTTATAAATTAGTACCAGTCTCACTCCTAAAATATTTCCCTCTATAAGATAACATGGATTTTGTAGCCTTTGGGTTTTGGAGAATACCAGACCTAGAATACTAGGTCTCCCTTTTATTTTTCCCTAGCAGCAACTATATTAATCCTTGTGCTTATTCCTTTTGGGGATTCTGATTTGCTGGTTTTCATTTTAAGTTTATTACAGCAAGTCTTTTGTTAATAAGACAAATTCTCCTTAGAAATAGGAAGAGGATGAATGGTTGGTTGGATGGATGTTTGGATGGATGATGGATAGATGATGGCTGGATGATGGATGATGGATAAATGTCTGGAAAGATGATGGACGGACAGTGGATGAATGAGTGAATGGATGGATGGATGGATGATGGATAGATGGATGGATGATTGGTGGATGGAAAATGGATAATGGATGGATAAATGGATGGATGGGGAAAATAAAAGAGAAAAAGGAAGGAAGGAGGAAATTTTGCTTTGGAAATGAAAAACACTGAAAACAATTGGGTGACTGCCATTACAACTTTTAAAAGCTTTATACAGAATATATTTATATAAGTATTTTTAATTTCAGAGAAAAAATGATCCCTATTCTCTGGCATCCCTGGTGTCCTTTGAAGTTAAGAAGATGCCTTATAAAGATCAGCCAGAAAAACTCCCAGAAGGAAGCATAGCAGTGAGTATCTTAAAAATATACAGGCACCAATAATTTCACTAAAATAATTATTTTTCAAATCACTGTTCAGCTTGTGTTAGGTTTAAGTTCTTATTACACTGACTTGATTTCCTCTTCCAATCATCGTTTTCTTATTTCAGTGTGGAAATTTCTTAGTGTCATTTGATCGAATTTTTAAACTTTCAGTATAAATTTCTACCCCTCCAAAAAGAATCACAAGGCAGGACCAATGTAATTTTTAAACTAGCCATTTTGTTTCAGAGAAGTCCAGATAGCAATGATCATTATAATGAAATCATACTGATTGTTTAATTTTAATGTGAGTAAGTAGAGAAAAAATAATTTCTTCCTTAGGGACAGTTGCCAGGGACCAGATGCACAACTTTGGACAGTAATCTTTCCTTTCTATATAAAGAGCAATAATTGTTTTTTTTTTTTTACCTGGGGGAAAAAAGTATACTCTGAGCTTCGTTTGAATGAAATGTTATTTTTTTTTAAATCGAGTCTATCAAACATGACTGATACCAAAATATCTGTCACAGCACAACTGCTGATATTCTCAGCAACCTGACAAGGCCATGCAGAGAAAAGGGGAGAGTGGGTGGGAGGGGCTGAGCAGACCAGACAGTCCCCAAAACTCTGCCTTTACAGTGAAACTGATCACAACCGAGACCCTAGGAAGCGATATTAAGATTTAAACCTTCGTCTCTTGGTCGTTCCATAGGTATTCACAACCCCCACTTGAGCTCTGGTCCCCAGGTCTTTGTGACTCAAAGTGCAGCTTGCAGACCAGCCACATCAACATCACCTAGGAAACTGTTAGAAATTCAGAAACAGGCCTCGCTCCAGACCTGTGTTTTTTCAAAAGCATCAGGGCATCGTGTTCACAGAAAGTTTGAGAAGCACTACTTTGGATGGCATATAAATTGCCCAGGTCTTCAAATGTAATTGCGATATTTAATCTTTCTAGCCTAATCTACTTTTAGTTCCTTAAATTAAATTAATCCATTGGTTAGTGATTCTCAACCTTAAATATGCAAAAGAGTCACCACTCATGCAACTTTAAAGACATATACAGGCTAAATCTTCACTCTGACCTCAGGATTAAGTAGGTCTGAAGTGGGGGCTTCGACACTGGGCTTTGAAAGATCTACATATGATAATTCTGCAATGAAACTTGGACTGAGAACCTCTAGCACAGGCAGGCTGCATAGAGGAAGATCCAATTTCAAAATAGATTCTCCTCAGCTTTATCCGGCTTCACCCAGGCTTTACCCTGTTCTAATTAGGAAAGCTTCAGGAAATCACTCTACTTTGCTGAGGCTGTTGCCATATTCACCTGAAAGAATTACTAAAATGATTAATAAAATTATGTGTAGAAAGCCCTAGCATTGTACCTGGAACAAAGTAAGTCTCAAGTCTCGATAATGTTGACCCTCCCCATATCGGGAATGTCAACAGATTTGCACAGTCAAACTTTATATCAGTAAACTTCGGTGGCATTTTAAAGCAGACACTACCACATCTTCCTTCATTTAGCCCATCTCTCTCTCACGAGATGTCTGCTGTAGTTTGGATTTATGTTCAACCTAGAAAAGAGAGGCTTTCGGTTTTGAATATTGAGTATTCGTCCAGAGAGGTTCAAAGGCTTGTAGCTCTAAGGGAGATAAATCTGGGCCCTTTTGTTGTCTGTGAGCATGTGTTCACTAAGAGAAACACATGTTACCATCGATTCTATCAACAGTATTGCATCTTTCTGTGCGGGCCACAGGTGACAGACAGCCTGCTGTTCTCAACCCATCTCAGAAGATCCACAAACTAATCAGACACATGATCCCCCACCCCCACCACCCATTGTTTTAAACTGTCTTGTTATGGGATGTAGATGATTTACCACGCCATTTACACCATTTACGGAAAGGTTCAGCCTTCCTTTCATTATAATGTTGATGAGATGCCTTAGGAAATTAACTCTTATTGACATCGTTAGCCTACAGTAAAACTGGTTTTGTTATATAGGTCCGTTGGCTTCACGTTGCAGAACCTAGATGTTAAGTGAGGACTTATTTATAATTGGAAAAAAACATTCCGGAACAAAGGTGCTGCTTCCAGGTCTCCCAGTACCTGCCTGCAGGAGACTCTTGCCAGTGCAGAGTTAGCTTTGGATTACAGGAAAACGGTCTTTCTGTGGCTTAGTTTGAGAGAAAGGTGCTTGGAGCTGGCAGATGTTTTTTATACCGAGTTCTCAAAAGTCTTGTCATTCTTATCTTGAAAAGAGCCCAGTGGGAGAGAATAATTGCTTTAAGGTTGTAGACAGACTTCGTTGGAATTGGTGGTTGGGAAAATATCAGAGCTCCAACCCATGACTCTGCCACTGGGAAAATAAATCTCTCAGTTCCTTCTTTGGTAATCCTAGGCCCTCGTGTGGGGTGATTCATTTGTTTATACTCTCTTTCAACATGCTCATGATTCAAGCATTTCTTGAGGCCTCTATGCGCTTTACCTATTGATGAAAGAGAGATCCCCATCTGCTTCTTGTATAGTGTCTCACGTGACGTGACGCTTGTCATGTTCAGAGGTGAAGGAAAGTTTGCACGAAGCTGAGGGACATGACTGAACACCGATTCACTACAGTTCAACTGGAAAAAATTACTGTTATATTTTTGTTATTACTTTTTTTTGCTTACCAATTAACTTTGACATTTTTGTGCCGTGACGAAAGCCGAATTCCAAAATTTACATCTAGAAGAGAGTATTATTGTCTAGTATAATTCCAAAGGTGGCTATTATAAAATGGCGTGAAAATCCTTATTTAGAAACTCACCCATAAACTGAATCCATTCGATTTTCAAAATTGTTAGCAAAACTCCAGCAAGTTAAAATGGAATTCTTATATTAAATAATTGTTTAGAGTTTAAATTTATATCTCATAAGGGCTATTTAAATTTTGTTAAAATGTACATTCAGCTGGTCCACCTTATGTTACTATTTGTTCTAAATGGCACTGTAGGTAGGGCGTCTTGGTACATTTATTTAAAACATTCTTGTGACCTCACTGAAGTATGTTTACACAAGATTTTGTGATACATGAATACAGATGTCAAGATTAATTACAGTTGCAAATTCAAGGGAGCTTTTTCGTTCTACCTTGGTATTTTGTCAAAATATACAAAAGCATATCATAAATGTCAATAAGAAAATGTAGGCATATTAAAGATTTATTTATGGTTTTTCAACCATAATAAAGAACAAGATTTATGACATGATAAAAGTAAGAATTAATGTTCTCTTCTTAACATCTCTTTAAGATGATACTAAACCACTTACAATTTATGGATCCCACTTCCTAAAATTGCTGATAATTATAATAAGTGAACTGTTAAAACTTTATACTCTTTCCTTAAATAGTTACAGGTTCTTGATACATAAAAATGAATTTAAACAGTTTGTTGATTAGTTGCCATGCAACAGAATTTTTCTCCCTAAATTTTAAGGACCTTAGTCACTCAATATTACCCTTCTTTTTTAAAGCAGTTGAAATCTGTAATTACAAGCCAGTGTTCTTAAGATAAACCCTTAGTACTAAATATACCCCATCTTCTGCCTCGGGACCCCCTTCTTGGGGAAAGAATCTTATAAAGAGGGACATGGGCAATTCGGTTAATCACATAATTGTATGAGATTATACAGAATGTTCTAGAGCTATGCAGTCCAGTATGGTAGCTACTAGCTACACATTGCTAGTGAGTACCTGACATGTGACTAGTGTGACTAAAGACCTGAACTAGTAATTTTATTTCATATTAACTCATTTAAATATAAACTTCAAATTCTAGCCGTATAAAATATTTTTTTCCATTAAACACAGTGTCATTTTTTTGGTAAGACTGTATTTCACTTTAACCTTGAAATTTTAGCAATTGTTATGTGCTACAGGTGTAACAATATACACTGGATTTTGAAGACGTAGTTAAAAAAAAAGAATGTAAAATATTATGAATAGTTTTATATTAATTACATGTTGAAATAATAGTAGTTTTGACATTTAGGGTTAAATAAAATATATTATTAAAATTTGTGCCCCATCTTTCTTTTAGAATGTGGCAAGTAGAACATTTTAAATTACATGTGTAGCTTGCATTATATTTCTATTGGACAGTACTGATCTAGAGCAGGGTTATAGAATGTTCCAGCTGGGAGCTGATGAGAATACATACAGGGCTTCAGAGAACATGGGATATTTAATAAATCTTATTTGAAATGAATAAAAAATTCTTACTTTAAATCAGTGATTAGTCATCAGAAACTCTAAAAATTAAGACCTCTTTTTCTCATTCTTTATTATCCAATGCGTAATGTAAGCTTTGGGTAGACTTGTCCAAATGAGCAGCAAAAAAACATAAGTATTAGAAGTCACAAATTTGGGGTATTTTCCCATATTTTATTTCTTAGCCAAGCTTTCCCAAAACCATTCTACAATTTCCACAGCACTAATTCGAATTTAAATAAATTTTGGTCCTATAAAAGTGATCTATTAAGTCTTTTCCTCTTAAGCTTGCCTTGCAGTTCAAGTTTCCAGTTTATACAGAGAACTGAGCTTCAGGAAAAGCTTTGCTTTACCTATTTCCACCGGCAGCTGAAATGCCCCATTGCCATTTACAGACGTGACTATGTCATATGACTCCCGCATCCACGTGTTCTCAGAAAGGCTTCTCTTTCTGAGACTCTTCCAACGACGCCTTCATCTGACTCTTCGTCCACCTCCTTCGAGCATTGGTCATCTAGCTCGTCTCGTTGGAAATATGGGGAAATACTCTGGGGAATGGCTGTTGGTTTTCTGTATTTCTACTGTCCGTAGTGTAGCGACTTCTTGACTGTGCAGCAGAAGGCCTGGGTGAGTTTAGGGGAACGACAGAGGAGTAGGAAGTCCTCTGAAGCTGCATCCGTTTATATGGAGAAGGCTGGGCAGCCTTGGTGCCACCTGGATGCCCCAAGGGCAGCCAACAAAGAGAGCTGAATGTAGGCTCGACGGGGAAATCACTGAGTTTGGTTTCTTTGAAACTCTTTATGTCCTGTCTTCTTAGTTAATGACATATGATGACACAGAAAATATATACGACATGAGTAATTCTAACATTGAAAGTATTCAGAGAAAGGGTAGGAAGTGGTATTTTTTAAATGAACGCAACGCGGACTGGAAGCCGACTGCCCATGGCTATTATGGTGATGAGCGTGTCAGAATTGAGGAACTGAAGAGGGCCGCAGCAGTCATCCACTCTCAGACTTGCTTCGGACACCGCTGTCGAAATCTTGGGAAACAAATACAAACGAAAAACCAATAGATTTTGAAATTACTTTTATAAAGCTGTTTTCTGCTTCAGGAGAGACTGGTAAGCCTCGCCTGTTCGGTTTCATGTTTTATTCCTAC